TATCAACATAATGGCACTAAGGGTTAAACATGTTTTTAAAATGGAAGAGCTTCTCATCACATTGTCCCTTATGCTGTCCTTTTTCACTTGTAACTATTTATTCTGGCGTTTTATTTCAGTATTACTGATTAGTATTCTTACATCATCAGTTTTAGAAATTTCAGTTTAAATTATTTCCTCTTGGCCTACAACAGATGGGAGTTTAGCTTACATATACCATCCCGTGCCTCTCCTGCCCCAGTTTCCTGTCACAGGCATGGTCATGTCTTTAATCCTTCCCTTAGAGACTGACCCTTTGTCCCTCAGTAACCTCACGTGCTTCACGCTCTTGTCCCATTGCTTATGGATAGTGTCCCTGGGCACTGGTCTTGCAGAGCGCCCAGCCTTCCCTTCAGCCCTCTCTTCTCTTTACTTTTACCCTGATACTAACATTTATACTCACCTGTAATCATAATTCTCTGTTATGTTTTGCCTGTGGATTGATTCTAATAGCTGAAAATGAGAAGCTGGCATGTGCCCTTCTGAGACAACGGCCCAGACACCGACACACGCCCTCAGCGTCCTGTGCCCAGCGCTGAATTGCTTGTGGTTCTGTGGCTGCACATTGTCACGTTGATGTGCTGGTTCTGTCATTACTGCAGAGTTGATGTAGTTGAGATGGCCCAGGCTAAGCTTACAGTTTTCAGCATAATTAATAGAAAGCATGCCATCAAAGCTGATAAAGGCATCCAGATTTCAGTGAGAAACCATGAGCTGTGCTGCATCTGCTTCAGCAGGAACAACACTAACTCTAGGAGCCATGAGATCTGGGTTTGAGTCCTGTTTCTGCCATAAGCTAGCTGGGCAACCCTGACAAAGCACTCATCCTTCATGTTGCTCTATTTCTTTGTCCATAAAACGAGTGGCTTCGAATAGATATCCTTGAGGGTCTGTTTGAGCTCTCAGATCCCAAGGAAAACGGTCTCTTCTTTCTCACAATGTTGTGGGCTGCTTGTTCACTGGCGCTCTCAGTCATCCCTAGTACCAGTGGCCGCACAGAGCCCGTAGAGGGCTCTTCAGCTGGTGTTCTCATCTCCGAGGGTAGAGTTCCTGCCTGAGAAGGTCTCTTCTTAGGAGCAAATCAGGGTGCCTGTAACTGATCTGGGATGGCCGGAGGTAGGAGTATAGAGTCGTTCCTAGGCCTGTCCCCCTGGGTTAGAGGAGATCTGCATGTCCCGAATTTGTTTCTTCACATGGCAGGAATTTGCTAGACTTGTCTGATCACAGCTTTCATGCTGTGTCATGTGTCTACCTAGAAGGCATGAGTTCACTTTGGTTCACTTGTTCCACAAGAGTTCATTGAGTGCCTGCCAGCTGCAGGCCCTGTGCTAGACACTGAGTCAATAAGCATTTTCCCCGTGTTGCTCTCTCTAGGCATTAGGTTAACAGAATCATTAGCAATGGCACCTGCTTCAGCAGTCTCAGGCCTCTACTTCTCCAATTTGAAGTCCAAATATTTTGCTGTGGGGAAGATTTCCAGGGATCAGGTAAGCTAGCTGTTTCATTATATGTGGCTTCCCTAGTTCAAATGAAATTCTAGAACCTCTTTCATTTTAAATGTGAATGAGAATAAAGTGAGGGAAAAGGATGAAGAAATTTACTCCAGTTAATGTCTTAATTTGATTTCAGCAGAATACTTCTATTGTAGCCCCCAATTCTACATGCAAACCACACACACACACACACACACACACACACATACAGCTTCTAAGCATCAGATGTTTACTACATGTTGTTTTTCTGCCCAGAGAATAAGGCAACTTGGTAAATAAATATCTATCTACCTTTAACTCTGTAGATTGCTATTAAGACAAGAAATGGAAGGTACTTAATGTTTTTCGGCAAATCTTATGGAAACTTTTATTCCAAAAGTCTTTCACGTTGGTTTAATAAAATGCTTCTCATCTTTTGCAGGTTGAGGATTATGCATTGAGGAAGAACATGTCTGTGGCTGAGGTTGAGAAATGGCTTGGACCCATTTTGGGATACGATACAGACTAACTTTTTTTTTTTTTTTTTGCCTTTTTTGTTCTTGATGATCCTCAAGGAAACACAACCTGGAGTGCCTTAAAAATAACAACAACAAAAATCCTGTGTGCATCTGGCTGACACTTCCCTGCTTCTGGTTTTCGAAGACAATTTAGTGGAACCTTGCAGAGGAGCAGGGTCTTCCTACAGTGCCTGGAAAACAGGTGCTGTGTTTTCAGGACCTTGCGTGAAGAGCAGTGAGCAGGGCTCCTGTGGTTTCCCTGGTCCCTCTGAGATGAGGACAGACTGAAGACAGGTCTTCTGCCTTTCAAAGCAAGTCAACTTGCTTTTTTCTATTTTTAGAGTGGAATCTAGGAGGCCACTTAGTCCTCTTTTTTTCCTCTTAGAAGAAAAGCCTGAAACTGAGTTGAATAGAGAAGTGTGACCCTGTGACAAAACGATACTGTGAGAAATGGGGCATTTTAATCTAAGTGGTTGTAACAGTGGATTCTGACGGGGAAGGTATAGCTCTGTTTTCTTCAGAAGACCTCATTTTCTAAAGGCTGGATTAAATGGTTGCAGAACTGCCTTTGGCAAAAGGCATGCTCTCACTGCTTGCTTGTCAGAAACACTGAAGCCGTTTGCCCCAGTGTGGTCAAGCAGCCATGCTCTCTGGGCATTTTCATCCTCCCATAATTTCATATTTCCGTGCCTGTGAGGAAACAAAAAGGAAATGAGAGAAAGTTACTGTTAAGGATTGTTAACATCATCTAATTGTTTTCAGGATTGAGCAGGTTCTCAGCTGGGCTCTTGATATCCTGTGCATAGTTGGACAGGTGGGCAGCATAACATCACTCATTTCTTACCATCTTATTCCCCTCCAATTCTCAATGTATTCAATAATGAAGAATGATGCCACCACTCAAGCAACAAGCCTCAAACTCACTCATGTCATCTTTTTCTTGGATGATTGCAGTTATCTCAAAAATTTGCATGCAAAATATACACTCATCCTACTTGAAGATGGTGGTGGAAATATTCAGGAGAAGGTAGCGTTGGAGTCCTGATTTGAGATTTGAAGGATGAAGATGAAGAAGCAAGGGAGGAACAAATGAGAAACTATCTTTGTTCATGAATAGGAATATTAAAGATTGTAAAAGTATCAGATCTCCCCAAATTGATCTATGGATTTAATACCATTTTCATTGGAAATTCCAACAGAGATTTTATTGAATGAAACAAGCAGGTGTTTAAATTTATATGGATTAGTAAAGGACTTAAAATTACCAAATGCTTCTACATATGAAGGAAAGATTGAGGAGACGCACCCTATGTGATACCAAGTTTTATTGTCAAGACAGTGTCATATGGTGCAGAGGTAGGCGTTATGAGCAGGGAAACAAAATAAGGGTCTAGAAACTTGCCTAGGCATATGTTGACCTTTGCAAAATGACCTGGTGACATGGCAGGTCAGTGGGGACAGGAAGGATCACTCCCTAAGTAGTCCCAGAACAATGGCTATTCATGTGGGAAAAAAAGAAATTTTAATTTATCTCACCTTACCCAATGATAAGTTCCAAATATGTTAAGGGCTTTAATACAGAAAGCAAAAATTGTCAGTGTTTGGATGAAAAAAGCCTTAGGGCAGGAAAGAATCCCTTGAGACATAAAGTAGTAATCACAAATGACAAGGTGGTTAAGTGAATTCTGTTAAAACTAAAGACTTACATTAAGCAAACACTTGAAGTGAGAAGATGAGCCACAACTTGAGAAGACATTTATAATACAAATAACCGACACGGGATTCATAATCACAAATATAGAGAATTCCTGTTTAAAAAAAAAATAGAAAAATAGAGAAGACTACACAAGAGGAAATAAATAGGGCTTTTAAATAAATAGATGTTCTGAAGCATTAGTGGTCAGGGAAATACGAATTAGGACCACAATGAGATTCCATTTTATATCCATAAGATTTGCAAAAGTTGGGTCTGACAATACCAGGTGTTAGATCTGTAGGGACTTGTACAACATTGTGGATGTGTAAACAGGCACCACTGCTTTAAAAAACAATTTTCCCTCACAGACTTGAACATTTGCAGACCTTATGATCTTACTTCCAACTCCCACCTGTACGTCCAGCAAACTCTTGTATGTGGCCCCTAGGAGGAATGGGTAAGAATGTTCATATAATGTATTTATAATAGTTCATAACTGGAGAAAGTGAAATGTATGTCTCTCTGCAGGAAAATAGGTGAATAATTATATATATATATATATTCATCCTACGGGATATTATTCAGTAGTGGAAATGAGTGAACTACAGCTGTAGCTAACAATAAGAATGAATCTCAGAAAATACTGAGGAAAAGTAGCAAGTTCAAAGAGACTACATGTGGTGTACTATTTTTATTGAGCTCAAAAACAAGCAAAACCAAAGAATATGTAGTCTAAGCATACATATACAATAAAACTATACTATTAAAAAAAAAAAAAGGTAACAATGATAAACCAAAATTGAGCATAGTAATTACCCACAGAAGGAGGAAGTGGAAGGGACAGGAGCACATAGGTAGATGTCAAGTTATGCGGCTGTTCTGGTTCCTCCTGGTAGACTTACGAGTGTTTACTATATACTATTAATATATTATGCTTTATAACTAATAGATAAGAGTTTTGTACATATTAAATATGTTCTTAATATTAAATATAAAAAATAAAGGCAAAGTGGAATGATAAGCTAAAATCTGGTATGGTGGTTTTGTAGTTAATGTTTGTACACGTCAAATACAGTTTTGTCGCCCAGGCTGGAGTGCAGTGGCCGGATCTCAGCTTGTGGCAAGCTCTGCCTCCTGGGTCCACACCACTCTCCAGCCTCAGCCTCCCGAGTAGCTGGGACTACAGGTGCTCGCCACCATGCCCGGCTAGCTTTTTGTATTTTTTTTTTTAGTAGAGACGGGGTTTCACCGTGTTAGCCAGGATGGTCTCGATCTCCTGACCTTGTGATTCGCCCGTCTCGGCCTCCCAAAGTGCTGGGATTACAGGCTTGAGCCACCGCGCCCGGCCGTCAAATACAGTTTTTAAGGAAAGGAAGAGCATCTTAGGATAAACAGGAGCTGGAAAGGTGAGGGGTGGGAGAGTGCTGCATCCGTGTGGCTGCCAGCAGTGCCCAGATACCAGGCTTTGGGGAATGAGTGGATGGCAGGACCATTTGCTAAGACAGGCGCCAGGGGATGGGAGAAAGGATGAGTTTTAGAAAGATTCAATGGGACTAGACTGAATATGGGCAGTTCGATACTAGACTTTGGAATTTAAAAATAATATCTGGAGTTAGAATTGAGAGACAATAACGTGGAGATGGAGGTCAGGCTGCAGTGCGGTGACATCACCTATGGAGCATATGAGGAAAAGAATCTGGAGGAGGAGGAGGGGAGCCAGCAGGGGAGCAGCTGTGGGTTGGAGGAAGCCAGGAGGGAGAGTGCAATGCCAAGAAAGCAAGGAAGAGCGTTTCAAAGCATGTCTGCAGAACCCAGTACTGCGAAGAGCACTGGGAATGGGATTGCTGAGGGCCCTTCTCACAGTGAGTCCTTCAAGAGCAACGTCCGGATCGTGGGGACTGTTGGCAGACTCAGCCGGCTTTGCTAGGTTGAAGACAATGGGAGGTGTGGAAGATTTTTTGGCTCAGTTAAATAAGATTGGAGGAAAAGGTAGGACTGAGAGTGTTTCAGACAGAAAAGGGATTATATACTGAGGGTAAAGCACAAGTACAGAGGGTTGCAGATAGTGCAGAAATCTTTAAAAACAATTATTTTAACCCAACTTCCAGGGAGACTGAATTTCTTCTGCCGGTCAGTAACACCATCAACCTGGGAGTTGCCCCGACCCCTCCAGTCTTAGCTCCTGCAGCTGTAACAGAATACCGCAAACTGGGTGGCTTATAAAGAACAGACATTTATTTCTTACAGTTCAGGAGGCTGGAAGTCCAAGATCATGGTGCCATCATGGCCGGGTTCTGGTGAGGGCCCTCATCTGGGATGCAGCGGCCAGCTTCTCATGTTCTCACAGTGGGTGGAGGGTAAGCTTGCTCTCTGGCCTTCTCTTATAAGGGCACTATTTCCATTCATGAGGGCTCCACCTTCATGACCTAATTACCTCCCAAAGATGCCATCTCCAAATACCATCATCCTGGGGATTCCATTTCAACATGATTTGGGGGATACATCAGACCATAACACTTACCTTTTTTGCAACCTTCACATCTAGTTGGTTCTCAAGCCCTGGCGGTTTTACACACTAGATAGGTCTTAAGTTCATCTCTATGCCTGCCCTGGTTTAGGTTCTCATCATTTCTCCTCTAAATTCGTCTGCAACACAGGCTGCCGAGTTGGTTCCCACCTCCTAGGGCTGGAAGAGTGGGCGATCTGATTCTTTACACCCCCGCCTCAATCCTCCTGCTGCCTGAATAACCATCTCCCCGTCACCTAGGGTATATCCCAGCCCCTTAGAGGCATGCAAAGCCTTCCATATCTGACCCTGTCTTATGCCTGGGAAGCCCTAGACCCCTGCTGTACCCTGGAGGAGGTATCTGCTCACATTGGCCCCTCTGTCTGGAATACACCCACCCCAGTTCCGCCCAATTCAGGAAAGCTTCCCAACCCCTCCCTCCCACCACCCCAAAGCTAAGGGAAGTGACCCCTCTTCTTGTCTCTCACTGCCATGCACATATCATACAGTCCTTGCTGAGACATAACCTAGTTCCCTGTTAGACTTAACGTTTCCTAAGGGCAGGTTTGGAACCTTATTCGTCTTTATATGGTGTCTAGAGTAGTGCTTGCTTTACGATAGGTGCTCAGTAAATGTTGTCTTGAATGAGTTGAGCAGATCCTCTAGGGACAGGAGTTGGATGGAGAGCAGACTGTAAAGCCTCGTGAGAGTAGGGGCTCTGCCTCTTCCTGAGCTCAGAATACCCAGAGCCTAATGCAGTGCCTGCCATGAAATTGTTCACTCCATCAAGCCTTGTTAAATGAGTTGGGGGCGGGTGCACTATGATGGTTTTTCTTTCAGAAAGAAACTGCACTATCAAAGCCCTAGCACCTTCTCTATACCCACCTCAGGATTTCATATTAGATGGGGCCCAAGTGATATTTTCTTTACCATCCCATGAAGACAGCATATTGGCAGCCCTGCAAAAACAAAACAAGCCCCTCAATTCGTGGCATACTTGCTATAAATCAACTACATGTATTGTCAAATTGTAGAACTGAAAGTATATTCTGATTTGGTGTGTGCGTGTTTCTATTTAAGGAAATATACACTAGTATATGCATTAAAACATCAAGAGCTGGGCAGAGTGTCACATGCCTGTAAACCCAGCTACTCAGGAGGCTGAGGTGGGAGCATCCATTGAGGCCAGGAGTTTGAGGCTGCAGTGAGCTACGATTGCATCGCTGCACTCCAGCCTGTGCTGAGACCTGATCTCTTAAAAAGTCCAAGAGGATACACAGAAATTTTTAAGTGGTTACCTCCATGGAATGGGATTAGGGGATCAGAGGTGAGGGAACTCATGGTTTGGCTATTTCTCATTCTTTCTGCACTGTTTCAAATTTTTACAAGTGTATGTTATTGTACTTTTAAAAAGATTAGCTTGGCAACAAGTCTAGCCTGAAATGGGTGCTATTTTGACTAGTCTGAGTGAAAAGTGAGGATTTAAATGAAGTAACCCCTAAACTCAGCCAGTCCCATTTTTTTTAACACTTGGAATATCTAATTCCATTTATACTGCATTCTTCAAATGTAATTTTCAAAGATGCCTTTTGTCTCATCCCTTGCTTTTAAGTATTATTATAGCCTTTTGGAGACTCACAAAACAAGCAGCCCTAAACTCTCGCCTAGGAAAGTCTCTCGGAATAAATGGTTTTTGAGAACCTTGAGTGTATATTCTATGAAATGGAAGGAACAAGAACTAGACAGAGTCATAAATGCTGTTGGTCACGGACAATCTCTGCCATCCATAAGGTAAATATAATACATACGGCAGCCTGCTGAGTGTGAACTTGGCAGCAGGTGAGGAAGGAACTTTGAACTCTCACAATCTTGTTTCTTCATTTCCCAGAGAGAAACTCGGCAAAGAGAAAAGGGACATTTCCTTCCAGATTATCTGAAAGAATTTCAATGCTTACCTTTAATCACGTGACATCTTATTAATAGAAAAGAGGTATTTGTTCATATTTTCAATAAAAATTTATAAAATCGAGTTGGTATATAGTGCTAAATATCATTAATTAAAAATATTTTAACCTGATGTGATAGATTGTTGATTTTTAAAAATTCTGTTGAGATGAGCTGATCAAGAAAGTTTGAAGGATTCCAGGGGAAAACATTTTAGTGTTAAAGTGCTTGGTTATTTTTAAGATAATGCAGCTGTTTTCAGAAAAGGTAGCAATTCGCTCCAAGAGATATTTCAGTGGCTCATAGAAAGCCTTCCAGTCACCATCAGATATTTCCTTACATTGCTATGAGCAAGTACTAACATCCAGTTTAAAACCATTGGGAATGCTGAAGTACAGCAAATAGAGGTGATAGCTTGGTCCCCAGGAGAGCCAGAACTGCTTCCTGTCTGCAGGATCCCATTTCTCTCCAGTGGGCCTTCAAATTAAATCTTGATGCCGGGCGCGGTGGCTCATGCCTGTAATCCCAACACTTTGGGAGGCCGAGGCAGGTGGATTACCTGAAGTTAGGAGTTCGAGACCAGCCTGACCAACATGGAGAAATTCCGTCCCTACTAAAAATACAAAATTAGCTGGGCGTGGTGGTGCATGCCTGTAGTCCCAGCTACTCGGAAGGCTGAGGCAGGAGAATCGCTTGAACCCAGGAGGTGGAGGTTGCGGTGAGCCAAGACCATGCCATTGCACTTCAACCTGGGCAGCAAGAGCGAAACTCTGTCTCAAAACAAATAAATCTTGAATAAAGTTAGGAATCAAATATCAATCAGTGGATATATTACCCCCCAACCAAAATAAATTGGTGAGTGACAAGGAAGTGGACACATCCATGAATGTTTTTTAGTCCTGTTTGGCATAGAAATGAATTTGTTTTCTTTTGCAGTTAGAAACATTGTCAATCAGCTGAAAATAATTTAGAAACCTAGTTATGCTTTACACTTCAAATGTGCATTATTACCCAACAGATCAGATAAAGATCAAGAGAAAGACCCTGTGAAACTTCTCCATTTGTTAAAATTGACCATCAACTGGGAAAAACAGAAAAAAATAAACCTTTTCCTAAAAGTTAGAGACAGGGAGGCATGGTACCCATTCTATTTGCTAAGGCACTCAAGGAGGAAGATCATCATATGCAGTAGATAACGTCTGAACCAAAAATCTAGCAAATCTGCCAGGCACATAGTAGGAACTTAAATATTTGTTGAGTGGGCAAAGTCATGTTAGAGGACTGGACGCCAAGAAGCCAGCTAGTGCCCTCCAGAGATTTTTCAGGCAAGTTCAGAGATGTACTGCCCCTGTCCAATGCAAGGAAACAGACAACTGCACAAAAGCAAATCTGGTCCATCCATCAATGGTACTTTCAAAACCTACAATTCAGTGATGGCTGATATTCCTAATGATGACTCATAAGTGTTGTAATATTCCTGCAGTACCTTCTGAATCATCGAAGACTCATTAAAATTCAGTATCACTTCAGTACTAAGTACATTTTACCATGTGAATTACTGTATTTGAAGGTTGACCACCCAAGTATGATAAATGTGACCCCTGTCCTTTAACTGGAATACAGATTAAGCAACATTTTTCCTTCCCCCCACTATGCCAGATAGCAGAGCATCTGCTGCTGCTATAACCCTGTGGCAAAAGAGCCAAGCCTGACGTTGTTTAAGCTAGAAAGAGGGGTGCTGAAGTGAAGAAGATGGTTTATCAGGGTGAATGGAAAAGATGCTATGGGACAAGAGAGTGTGTCCTGACAAGGAGGTCAGCTCAAACGGTGGAAGCTGAAGGGGCCGGTGTGAGGCAGAGTTGAGTCATTTAATGCCATTGGCATTAAGGGGGAGGGAAAAGGCCAATTTTGGATGGTTTGTATCAGATTAGCAGGAGCATCTGACTTAAGAAAACAGTAATTATTGGGTTTTGTCAAGTGAGAAGTGAGGTTTGACTTTGGATGCTATCTTTACAATTTTACTTGAAAAGTGAGGAGGTTGAAGAGAACAGGGGAAAATTGAGAACTCTGGAAGGTGGGAAGAGAGAATTTTCTAAATGTTTTGTAATGTAAGTAGCAAACATTTGTGGATATATATTTGGGGATGAGAGAGAGGAAAGGAAACAGTAATGAGGACATGACTGCCCCCAAAATGGGGAGAGATGGAAAGGACTTTACCCAACTATTTTCCTACCAACATTAAAGGGATGAAACATACCTTCTCTAGGGAGAAGGATGTCCCATTCCATCCAGAGGGATGGGAGTCTTGCTCTGTCGCCCAGGCTGGAGTGCAGTGGTGCAATCTTGGCTCACTGCAACCTTGGCCTCCTAGGTTCAAGCAACTCTCCTGCCTCAGCCTCCTGACTAACTGAGATTACAGGCGCCCACCACCATGCCCGGCTAGTTTTTGTGCCCTTTTAGTAAAGACAGGGTTTCACCATGTTGGTCAGGTTGGTCTCAAACTCCTGACCTCAAGTGAGCCATCCGCCTCGGCCTCCAAAAGTGCAGGGATTACAGGCACGAGCCACTGTGCCTGGCCAACTTCTATTATTTTGTAGAGTTGATTGGTATTTGGTTATCAAGGCTGTGCTAAGATTTGCAGTGATAGAGGAATAAACATTTACATCTGCCTTTTAAGATTCTCTTCCAATGAGTTCAAATAGTGGTTTTGATATTAGAGAGAAGAAATGCTGGCTGGACAAATTGCCTCTACTTTTGCTTTAGCTAAGATCCCCAAGAGGTGAAAAATTTGCTGTAATACGGCATTTGTGCATTCATTCATATTATCTGTTCATTCATCAAATACGTATTGGGCTACATCCTGTGCCAGAGCTGGACATGTAATGCTAAGAAAGTAAAATTCCCTGCCCTCATGGAGAGTAACATTCTTCGCAGTTTGTAGGGAACAGACTCCCTCCAGTACCTTGAGCAGTACCTTGCTCAAGACGTAAACTCATCCTCTGCTCTGGATTTAAAAGCAAAAGCGGCATCTCCTGGTCTCTCATGAAATATTTGGAGGAACACTGCCCATGTATATTCCATGCCTCTTTCCCAAGATTTTACTGCTGCTTCTAAGTATAGCTAACAGTAGGTAAAAAACTTTGACCTTTCTTTCGCTTTGCTCCCTTAGGACCTCCGGTTTTAGAGTTCATCAGGCAAACCTGGTTTCATTTCTTCTTGCTTAGCCTGATAAACTAGTATGCTGTGTCCCACTGTTGGAAACCCTGGTACAAAGTCCTGGTACAGAACTCTTTCTGAATATTAATCTCTGTATTGCTGTGCCAGAATCAGGTAAGAAGGTGTGTGTGTGCGCGCACATGCGTGCACGTTTGTGTACTCACAAATGCGGGCACACCATTCTGTATGTTAAAAGGAAAGTCTGTGATTAGCTGTGAGCATAAACACAGCTCACCTGATTCCGGGTTGCTTCCTGAACACAGATCCCAGAGCAGCTGCCAAGCTTTCCCCCTCCTTATCTCATCAGGACCTTTGGGGAGCAAAAGTGCCCAGACATCTCCCACTGCAGATTAACAAGCTGCACTTCAGAGGAACGTTTCTTGATAGGCATCTGCTTTCCAAAGAGAAACCATTTATTTAACAAGCCGCTCTTTAGAAATTTATAAATGCAGCTTGCTTTCTTGCCGTTGCTCTAAATCAAGATTCCCTTCTTTGTCTTCCTCTATTTTTCTTTACTAAAAGTTTGCTTTTTGAGTATTGGTATAATTTCCAAGGAGTCAGTGTTCATACTAACATAAATTTTTTTTAAAAGCCCCAACTTGCTTTAAAATTACTTTTTTGTTCACACCTAAAGGATATTTATGAGTAAAATCTATAGAAGAACCCGGTTTGTCATATTAAACTGCCAGGCTGTGCCCTCAAATGCCTAGAAAAGAGAAATGCATTTAACCACCAAATCTCTAACAGACTTCATCCTTATCACTCTTTGGTTTTGTGTATGTTGACCTGCTCTTGGTCACTCTTGTGTTGTGTGTTTGAGGGTATAGATCATTTTGTAACTTTACTTACATTATAGGGTATATGTATTATCTCCCAAATCAAATTGTAGGGTATTTAAAAGAGCGAAAACTGTCTCTTCTGCTTTCTCTGTATGTTTTAGAAGCACTAAAGAGTTTGAAGAGAGCAGAGGCGATGTGTTAACACTAATAGTCTGACCTGAAGTGCACAGTTGTGTGAGGGGACTCTGAGGTCAGACCTGTCTTTGATCTTTTCAGAAGACATGCATGTGATTAGCTGCAGAGCATAATGCCTCCCCTCTCATGCCTTCAAAAATTAGTCACTGGGGGACCTCGGGCAGGTTGTATGCCCTCTCTATGAGGCAGCTTCCTTGTCTGTAAATGACCATAGTGCTACCACTCACCTCATAGGACAGTGCAAGAAATCAATGCCTTAATTCACAGAAAGCTCTCATTACAGGGCTTGCTTTTAAGAGAAATCTTCATTAACTGAAGAACAATAATGATGACCCTTGGGAAATGTTTAATTTTTTCAATTCTTCAAAGCCGTGCTTTACAGAAAAAGTGAATGCAACACCTCATCAAAATACCTCATTTGATAGACAATGTGTATACATCTCATTATGAATGCCAGTAGCACAAGAAAAGTGTAGGAATGGAAAACCTGACTGTGGTGAGACTGGAAATTTTCCAGAGGGAGCTGTAAACATTGCAGCTATAGACAACATTCCTGTTACAGAATTGACACTTTACAAATGGATTACTCTGCTTATTAGGATAATTATACCAGACATGTTGGGATGGTCTAGTGGAACCCATCCCACACCTGGAAAAGCACCCCAAATATACTAAATTATACTTGCATTAATGTCTTAGTCCATTTGTGTAGCTATAAAGGAATACCTGAGGCTGGATAGTTTATAAAGAAAAGAGGTTTATTTGGCTCATGGTTCTGCAGACTGTACAAGAAGCATGATGCTGGCATCTGCTTCTGGTGAGGCCTCAGGAAGCTTCCAGTCATGGAGAAAGGCAAGGGGAGCTGGCTTGTCACATATTAAGAGAGAGAGCCACAGAGAGTGGGAGGGAGGTGCCAGGCTCTTTAATAACCAGATTTCCATGA